TACTTTTAGAGACTATAGGAACCACAAGTAGCCCTGCATTCAGAGAACGTAGTGTTCTAGAGGGGTAATAGGGTACTATGAGCTCTTTAAGATATGAAGGGGCCTGACCATGAAGAGCTTTATAGGTGAGGAGGAGAATTTTAAATTCTATTCTAAATTTTACAGGGAGCCAGTGCAGAGAAGCTAGTACAGGAGAGATGTGATCTCTTTTTCTAGTTCCTGTCAGTACTCGTGCTGCAGCGTTCTGAATTAATTGGAGCGTTTTAATGGACTTATTGGGGCAAACTGATAATAAAGAGTTGCAGTAATCCAGCCTAGAAGTAACAAATGCATGGATTAGTTTTTCTGCATCTGTCTGTGATAGGATGTGTCTAATTTTTGTAATATTACGGAAATGAAAGAAGGCAGTCCTAGAGGTCTGCTTCATGTGGGAATTCAATTACAAATCCTGATCAAAGATAACTCCAAGATTCCTGACAGTGGTGCAAGAGGCCAAGGTAATGCCATCTAGAGTAACTATATCTTTAGACAGTGAGTCTCTAAGATTTTTGGGGCCAAGTACAAGAATTTTGTTTTTTTCTGAGTTTAACATCAGAAAATTGCAGGTCATCCAGGATTTTATGTCCTTAAGACATGTTTGTAATTTAGATAATTGATTAATTTCATCGGGCTTGGTAGATAGATATAACTGCGTATCATCTGCATAACAGTGAAAGTTAATGGAGTGATTCCTAATAATTTTGCCTAAAGGGAGCATATATAAAGTAAATAGTATCGGTCCAAGTACAGAACCTTGTGGAACTCTATGACTAACTGTAGTATTTATTGAAGATTCATCGTTAACATGTACAAACTGCGAACGATCTGATAAATATGACTTAAACCAGCTTAGTGTGGTTCCTTTAATGCCAATCTGATGCTCAAGTCTCTGTAAAAGAATATTATGGTCAATGGTGTCAAATGCAGCACTAAGATGTAATAATACAAGTACAGAGACAAGTCCATTGTCTGAAGCAATCAAAAGGTCATTATTAACTTTAACCAGAGCTGTCTCTTTGCTGTGATGAACTCTAAATCCTGACTGAAAATCCTCAAATAAACTATTGTTATGTAAAAAGTCACACAACTCTTTGGCGACTACTTTCTCCAGAATCTTAGAGAGGAAGGGGAGGTTAGAGATTGGTCTATAGTTGGCTAAAACCCCTGGGTCAAGAGTGGGCTTTTTAAGAAGGGGTTTAATTACAACTACTTTAAAGGACTGTGGTACATATCCTGATAATAAAGAAAGATGAATCATATCCAGTAAAGAAGTGCCAATTAAGGGTACGACTTCTTTAAGCAGCCTAGTTGGGATCGGGTCTAACAGACAGCTTGATGGCTTTGATGTAGAAATTATTGAAGTTAACTGATGAAGATCGATAGCAGAAAAACAGTCTAAATATATATCTGAGTTTACATTAGTTAAAGTTCCTGAACTTGGAGAGCCACTGATAACTGTTGATGGCAGTTGGTGATTAATTTTCTCTCTAATAGTAATAATTTTATTATAAAAGAACCTCATGAAGTCATTGCTACTTAAGTTTATGGGGATATGTGGCTCAATAGAGCTGTGACTCTCTGTCAGGCTGGCTACAGTGCTGAAGAGGAACCTAGGGTTATTCTTATTTTCTTCTATTAGTACTGAATAATAGGCTCCTCTGGCGTTACGGAAGGCCTTTCTATAGGTTTTAAGATTATCTTGCCAAATTTAGCGATATTCTGATAATTTGGAAGAGCGCCATTTCCTTTCAGATTTCCTAGCTTTTTGCTTTAATTGGCGGGTTTGGTGGTTGTACCACAGTGCTAGTTTCCTATGTTTTAATAATTTCCTTTTTATAGGAGCGATAAAATCTTATGTTCTTCGTAGTGAGCCTGCAGCACTATCAACAAGATTATCAATTTCGGAGGGACTAAAGTTATTATGGGACTCTGTTAAATTCAGACAAAAAAAAAAAAACGAACTCCTTATAACATTATTTACAGAGACCCAACAGTACCACCATGAGCAAGCACTTAGCAACAGTGGCAAAGAAAAACTGCCTTTTAAGAGGCAGAAACCTAGAACAGACCCTTCGGTTCTAGGTGGGTGGCCATCTGCCTCAACCAGTTGGGGTGAGAGGGGGAGAGAGAGAGAGAGAGAGAGAGAGAGAGAGAGAGAGAGAGAGAGAGAATGGGGTGAAGACAGAAGGACAGAGACAGAGACAAAGGTGCACAGCAACAATAGTAGCAACAACTACACTAATAGTAGTGACTGATGATGAACATGAAGAAGATGATGACGACGACAACAACAACGATGGGGGACAATGAGCAGTGATTATAGTAATAATTATATTAATAATAATAATAATAATAATAATATCAGTGATATTAGCCATGGCAGGCAAGCAGGACCATGGCAGGAGGCTCCACCAGGATCCATGAGAACCTGCGAGATGAGAAAGCACAAGAACTCCGAGGAAGAAGTGAAGTTAGTAACATGCATTAATGGGACATGAATGTGTGCAGAAAGAGAGTTAGATAAAAAAACTATATATAAATGAATCAATTATCAATGGTAGCAAATCAATTTTGGGCTTTGGGGCTTACATTCTTGTAATGATATAAAGTCAACTTAAAGAAAAAATGTGGAACAAATTGGAATGATATCACCAATACTTAAAATACTGCATATATTTAAGTAAACTCAAAACAACTGATTAATTCAACTATTCATTTTTGAGTTGTGTTATGTTAACTTTCTTATTTTATTAAAATATTCTGTTAGGATTTACAGTGTTTTTGTAAACTTTTACTTTGTTTTATTTGATTTCCTCATTCTAAATTCAGAATTAAAACAGAATTAATTGTGTTTGCATTTGTATAATGCTAAAAATATAGTAATGTGCATTTCAAATATTATCCCGGGTTCACTGAATTTTGTTTTTCTGTAGTAGCATTATTAGTTACTGATTATTGCATCAAATTCAGTAGCACCTGCTATAAACAATGCCCCAATCCCGATTCTCCAGTTGCTGTTACCCACAGTCCAAAATTGGCTCATCTGCCAAAAGTGTTTTTTTCCCAGATGGAAAAATAATGACCTCAAGTTTCTTCTCTGAACCTTCCTCTTCATATTTTAGCCAGGATCTCAGGGCTCCTGCTTCACGCCCTCGTTACTTTTCTCTTCGTCTTCATTTTTTCTTTTTGGTGGCTTAACGCCGGAAATGTGTTGACGCAAACATAGACAGACATTGTGTAGAACGTGCCAAATGCTAGCTGTATTATACGGTGGACAGTGAGGGTTCACAGCAGTGTAAACTTGGCCCTATGAGGCAATTCCAAAATTATTTACTGACCAAGCCCAAAACCTGCTTTTAACATTTGGTAAGTGTTAATTTAATACCATTAGTACGTTAAGTGAAAAACCAACTTCATTATCATTTCTTAATTGTTAGATTGTGGTATTTGTACACATTTATACACTGTAAGTTTTGTCTTTACAAGACTTCCATTAATTTCTAGTTCTTGTTGGACAATTATTCTATTCCAGGAGACAAACTGAGTACCAGTTGAATGCTGATGTTCGGTGTGTGTGTTAGTGTCCGGCTCCGTAAACAGAAACCTGTTATTGTGTCGGTGTCTCCGTGACGCACGCCTGGGTGGAGACCATGTGACATCACTCCTCTGGGGTTAAAGGGCGTTGCTGTGACACACCGTAACCATAACGACAGGGTTTTACCTCCTATATGTGTGTGTGTGTGTGTGTGTGTGTGTGGTTCAGCATTAACGCAGCAGAGGTGTGTGCTGTTGGTTTGAGTCACGTCTGAGTTTAATTCCTGCCTGATGTCATGAGAAAGTTTGTCTGTGAGAAAAACAGGCGACAAAGTCTGAACACACAAACTGAATATCACACCACAACACACTCGGAACACTGACTGATGCATTCATATATGAGTTACAGATATAAAAAAATTATTAATTTGTGTTTGTCAGCTGACAACAGCGGCTGTGTTGATACACATCTTTAACATTATTAACATTAATGAGTGACATGTTGTTTTCTTATAGAGCCCATTTCAGACATGCACCTGGTCACATGAATGTTGCTGTAATTTTAAGTGAACTCTAATGGATGGAGTATGAAAAAAATGTTGCAGTGCCTTTCTCACCCTTTGACACGGTAGACAGCGGGTCCTTGTTAATGAAATTACTAACTCTGAAGATGAAAACACTAAAAGTCATCTTCCAATTTTGATTTCCTTAAAAGACTGAATAATGACTTTTTTTTGTCATTAGTGTGCCATTTTTTTGCCATCGTCTTGATGATGTAACAATAGAGTAAACGAATGATACACAGAATATAATGACAGCTGTCATGTTTGGTTGTCAGCTGTCAACTGTTGTGGGGGGTTTTTTTGTCCCTAAATATTTTAGTTTGTTTCCTAAAGTAATCCAAAATATAAATCATACAAAAATAACAAATTTCAAACTAATGAGTATATATTAATTTAGTTATATATTTAATAATAATTATTATTATTATTATTATAGATGATACAAATGGGACAGAAAGAACCCAAATCAGGAATCTAACTGATTTAACTGTTTAGTTTGTTTCTTCACTTTTAAGATGAACGTGAATATATGTGAACAAAATAATGAATAATTCAAATGTATTTGTGTGTGCGTGCGTGCGTGCGTGCGTGCGTGCGTGCGTGCGTGCGTGCGTGCGTTGTTGATGTTGACATACATATTCAATGTTGATTTGTTACACTGCCTGTACCTTCAGATTATTATTAGCCACAAGGCTTAGGGTGACACGCAAAAACACGCATGCACACACTCACACACACACACACACACACACACACACACACACACACACACACACACACACACACATACACACACTCACACACACACACACACACACACACACACACACACACACACACACACACATCTATGTCAGTCAGTCATTTGTTTGGGATTTGTCAGATTTAATTCGGGAACATTAATCTGCTACAAGACAAACTGCAAACAGAAAGTTTGCAGGAAGTAAGAAGCACAAGTGTCCTCAGCTCAGTCAGAGAAGTGTGTTCAGCTGCAGTTCCTCTACTGTCCATGAGTTGCTGCTCCAGGAAAACCCACACTGTATTGAGGTGGTTGAAAAAGCCCCTACTTTTCTCTGCAAGTACAAAAGCAAGAACATTTTTACGCTCTTCTGACAAGATTTACCTTCCTCTGATGTGAATCTGAGGACATATTTTCTGAATAAAAATTCCATTAAGGAGACATTAAAGCTTAAAGTTGGGTGTGTTCAGATTGATCTACGCTCCACCCAGGGTCCATCCAAAATAGTGAAAGCAACATTATGTAAGATTTGGTATTTGTTACAAGTTGGCATCCCAAGTTTCAGAGTGCAATACCACTGTGGTAAATGTGGACAGCTGTACACTTGTATTTGTTATGATTTCAGCAAACATGACAGAAGCGCCATTCAACCTATTACAACTCAGTGTAGCATCAAAATTACTTGGAAGCAGTTAGAAAAATGACATAATATTGCTTTAAGTATATGGTAGTGTATTTGTAGTGTTGTCTAGTAAGAATATGCCTTAAACAATGGACTCTAAACAGCTGCTGGATGAAAGATGCTGTGTAAAACAAATGAAAACAGCAGTCTGGTCCTTTGAAAATATATTTCTGGTGTCAGCTGTATCACAGCTCTGTGTCAGTTCTGTTTTATTGACATGTTGCCATAATTTTGTTGTTGACCCCGTTAATGGTAATGAGCAGCTATTTGTTTTCGGCTTTTGGCCTGAAGTTTTTCTCTAAATATCATCTTCAACCTTGACTGCCTAATCGCTGCTAAGTGGGCTGAGCAGCTACGTGATGACCTTCAACCTTCAGAATGAAATACACTGAGCGTCGAAACAGTTTGATATTCTCTGATTTTCATAATCAATACTAAAAGATATGAAAATTTGTTTAAAAATGCATGTATTAAAAAAAGGTTAAAATGGGCATTATTAGTAAAATGTATTAATTAAAGGCACAAAAGGAATATAATTACATGCTAGTCAGCCTGTAGAAATGTTAAAAGACACAAAAAGAAAAACAAAAGTTTTTATTGTTTGCTTTTAAACCAAACTCTGAATGTAGGACAGCTCCTGTAAAGAACTGAAAGCTGCTGTTGATTCTGATTCTGACCTCCAGTTTGAAGATAAAAAAACATGTGAGGCGTTAGTATTTTTAGACGAGCTGCGACCACGACTCTGGATGAAATTAGTTTATGGCTGCGTGAACGTGTGCCCCCCCCCCCACACACACACAGACTCACAGAGTCAGCCTTGCACCGCTGGCCTCGTCCTGAGCGTGGCTCTGATCAGATCTGATCAGTTTCCGCTCAGCTTGCTCTCTCTCACAGCGTGAACACAAAGAGGCAGCAGCATAAATTTCCTTGCCGTGTTTTTCTCTGTAATTTCATGCAGCAGAGCAGCTGCGGGGCCTTTTCCTCCAACATCCGTCCATCTGACTGTCTGACCACGCTTCCAGTCCCAGTTGAGCAGGTCGCAAGATGAACGTCAAGAGGTTTATCCAACGCGAAGCTCAAGCCAACCCACACTGACATTAACTGAAACAGATAACGGCGCATTGAAACCACACTATGAGACTGTTTGCATCATAAAATGGTTCTGTTGAAAGCAAATATTCTACTTTTTAAAGACAACTGAAGGCCTGTTGTGAGTTTGGACCCAGATTGTTAGAAACCAGGCATGATAAACTTTAAACTTCCCTCTCAAACTCTCACTCTCACTCTTCTTATTCTTTGCGACTTGTGTCACTATTTGTGTGTGCAAACGATTGTCTTTATGTAAAGATATCAGAAAGTTTGCGCTATTATTACCACTGGAATGATTATTGCTTGATTCTATGACAGCAGACCTTTCACTCTGCCTCCCAGTGTGGCCGTTCAGAACAGCTATAAAGACATTTGCTTCAGTTGTGATCGGACAACATGTTGTACAAACTAGTACATTTCAAGCTGTACATTTTTAATTAACTGATAGTTGATTGAGGCCACCTGTTTTTGTTACCTGAGAATAAGCAGTTTTTATCTACAGATGCCACAGGTCACCTTCCATGATGAACTGCCATGTTTCTACAGTACCCCACAAGGGACAAACGAAACACTGACTGTAGATAGGGCCGTTCACGTTTGCGTGTTGAATTTGCAACCACGCCAATAGATGCCACTAAATCCTACAGCCTAGTTCTTTAAGTAGTAAACAAACATATTTTGCTTTGGTATTTTGGTGCATACCGGGCACATTAAGCATAGTAAGAGAAAAGTACTGCAAAAGTCAAGTATAAAATATAAAATATAAATTTATGTAGTATCTCTATGGTACGGTGGCCCTGAGGTGCAAATCACAACGGCAAATCAGAAAACACAACACAAAAAGAGAAAAAACAACGACAAATCAGAAAACACAACACAAAAAGAGAAAACACAACAACAAAAGAGAAAACACAACACAAAAAGAGAAAACACAACGGCAAATCAGAAAACACAACGACATTAACCAAACCGGAAAAGGTAGGTACCCTTGTCGCTGATTGGACAAAAGAACTGGTCCGTCCTTTGAACCGGAAACACAACACCGCCAGACCTATGCGTTCAAGTTGCCAAATCTGAAAAATGTAAACCACTAAATAAGGAAAATATTGTATTAATACGTCCATGTTAATGTGGGATACCTAAGAGAGGTAGAAACAGGGGTTCCAATAGTCCATATCTATGTGTTTTCTGATTTGCCGTTGTGATTTGCACCTCCGGGCCACCGTACTATGGTACTGTGTTTAATTTAATGTGCAAAATAATTAACAAGTAACACGCTAATTTTAAATGAATATTAAATCTATATTAAATCTGTATTTAACCCCAACACAGACATATTCACCTGTAGGCCACATATGTACTGATGTACTAAAAACGGACCAACTCCAGTTATAGGCTGGTGTCTTGGTCAAGGGCACTGACTGGAGAATCTAACATATATGTGTTCGATGTTGGGGGAAACTGGATCACCTAGAGGAAGGCCCTGCCCATTCAAACCCAGGACCTTCTTGCAGTGAGGCAACAGTGCTAACCACTGAGCCACCGGGCTAAAAGTAAACCGGTCTTAAAAGACTATGAATGATACACAAAACGTGAGGGGTCTGTCCTCATTTTCTCCTTGGTCTGGACCAGTATCTCAAGGGCCCGCTTTTGCTGTTTTCCCGTATCAAGCCTTCTGCTCTTTAGCTGTCTGCGTTTTGCTCTGCAGACTGTCAGATGGTTGGCAGCTATACTTGCTCTGCTTCCATCATTTTTCTAGCAGATTCTGCTGCTGTTGGCGTTGGTCAGTGGTTCCTGCTGATCGGATGTTCTTATAGAGTGTACAGTCCACCCTTCTATACCCGACCTCCCTTTTGAAGAGCCTCCCTGGACTGAAGGGTGTATTTGACTGTTTGGATGGCTATGAATGTTGAGATGTGCATGTTTCCGCTTCTGGGGTCGATGATCTCATTCATCAGGCTGAAAGATGACTTTGAGCTGGGTTCATGAAAGATGCAGAGGGCACATTTGACCATTGCACTGAGGGGTGGGTACTTACCTTTCGATGTTCTCTCCTTACTTGAACCTGGCCAGGCACAGATCATAGTTGTATGATCTTTTGGAGAATATCACTGCCAGCTGCTAAGAGGTGGCCCAGCATTCCATTCAACTTATTGGTTGGCTGGATGGTTGCCTGAGTGGCCTCTCAGCAGTGGGTCTGGCCTTCTGCATACAGCCAGTGGTGTAGACTTTTCTCACCATTTCCCATGAAAGGCTTTAGTCGCTGAAATATAGTACATTACATTACCATGTTTTCTCAAAACAATGACAATTTTTTTTTTCAAATGTTGTTTGGATACTAGTAGCATGATTGGGATTCCTGGTTCTGAATGTGTCTGCTTCATGTCCCGATACATCTCCTTGGCATGCAGCGGCATGTTATCCCTCAGCACCATCACTCCCAGAGCCCTGGGTAACACTTGAGTGAGGTGTTCCCCTTTCAGGAAGCAAGCCAGGAACAGCTCAATCTGCTTGTCATGGAGTTTGTGCACCAACGTCTCCCTGTGCAAGTAAAACACACTGCTGTGAAATAGAAGACACACCACTGGATACACAAGTTCTGTCAACAGTTGCCTTTAATGTCACAGAAACACCCACTTGGAAAAACATGATGTATCCCTTCATGTTTACGACTCAATTCTATAAAAGTACCTTTCGGTTGAGGTCCTCATGTAGGGACGGGATTCTGGCTCTTGATGTTTGATGGACAGTGTACTGTATACATGATTCCCAGAGGCTCTCTATAAAGCTGGTCTTCTGTGCTTAGATAGCCAAAATAGAGAATCTTGTTCGCTGGCAGCATTATGTATGTTGTCACTGATGGGCACAACCCCACTCTGAGGGACCTTTGACTGCCCTAAATGAACAGTGGAGCAAAATGTGGCATAGTTTTCCAAAAAAGGTGCCATTTTCAGATTATGGATTGGGCCTTTAAGCAGTGTAGCAGGAACAGAGAGCTGGTAGTCAGAGCTAACCACCCACGAGCAGCTGCTGTGAGACCATCGTCATATATAAAGATGGACAAAAGTGAAACTTAAACATCTTGGTGGCCCCCTGGTGGCTCACTGCAGTATAGGTCATAAAGCTGGGACATGGGCGAAACTAAAAAATCAAAGCACACATCAAATACATTTTTCCCAAAGAGGGTTTCTGGCATTTTATATAGCTCTTATCACACTGATTTAAGTTAAAGTTAAATTTTTTCTGATCAGTTTGGTTTTAAGCCATAAAAAGGGGGTGTTTCGTCATGATTGTCAGCACAGTCCTGCTTGTGACTGAGTCGGCCGGGCATATGGGCGGGGCCTCAATACCACAGCACCAACCCCAGACTCTGGCTCCTAATGATGTCACCAGAGCAGCGGCCGTATCTGGGATATTATGGCTTAATTTTTGTATAGTGGGAGGAAAGTAGACACACAGCCTCCATCTTTTCTTATGTTGATGTCTGCACTGGAAACACAGAGTCCACTGTCGCAGATTCATGGCTGTTTGTAAAAGTTTCTGTGTGGTACCTGTGTTGTAGCTGAGCTAAGTGCTCAGAGAGGCTAACTCTCTCGTAGTATATGTCCAGGGGGGACTGTCAGTGTGGGATCAAGATAAAGATTGCAGTCTGGTGCTTCTACAGTGTTGAGGGTGTACTGTAGCAGAAAAGAAAAATACTAATAAGAGAGTTAGCAAAGACTAAAATACTTTGAAAATGAGCAAAGCAGTTTCACAGACTCCAACTTTCACAAAGCGGAAGCTGGGGGAGGTAGGCTGCCCTTCTCTGATTAGCTATGGCGTTAAAACAGTTTTTATATACATTTCATGACAAAGAGTTGCAAGAGGTGTCAACACTGTCAGCATTGGCCTTACATTCTCAGAACAATAGAGAGCCGGTCGAGCCATTTTCAACCCACAAAATGCAGATTTTTGTAACTTTGGTAATAATGCTAATTTTAATACCAGTATTGATGTGTTTCATTCTAGTATAGTCATATAATTTAGTTTACAGCTCAAAGAACACGTTTTAGGGTGGAGCACCAATTTAAAGCTAACTGCATCAGGCCTATACCTTCATAAAGGTAACGCTTCATTTACTCAAGAAAAAGTTGGCTCTGAACAGTTCCCTCTTTCACTTCACATTGGACTCTGTAATGTTGCCCTGTGTGTCTGTTAAATGTGGAAATAAATTAGCTGACATTGAGGATGTGGACATTTACACCCTGCTGCTGTGACAAAGTATGAAAGGTACCACAATCCCAAAAGATTAAACTTTTCTGTTTCACTTCTGTGCTTCTCTTATTCCCTTTGTTCCCTGTTTCTCCTTCTTCTTCTCCACTTATCACATCTATTCTTTCTTTCATTCTCTCCTTTTCATTTCTTCATGTATCTTGTTCAAGTTTTTCATCCTGTCTTTCCTTCTCATTTCCCCTCTTCAATTCTTTATTCCCTTTTTAACTTGTGAATTTTTCTTCCTTCTTTTCAGAGGTGGTCAGAGGTTCCTGGCTGTCAGAGTCTCCTCAGTGCTGGCCCCATTGCTCTGGTTAGTAATCCATCTTTGCCTCTACTGGTTGAGCAGGTTTAGTGCCTTGCTCCAAGGTGTCTTGGCTCCACTTCAACTCCTTTACTTTCCCCCTGTTTCCTCCTTACAAGTTTCCAGCTGGTGTTTGGCTCGGCTGCGTGGATTTATTTAGTGTCTGCAGATTGATCACACTGGTTTGTATTTAACCTACTTAGGCAGAGAGCGAGCGCACTAAGCTGAGCCCCCTGCAGGATTTAACATTTCCAACTGTCAGGACGAATTAACCGGCACTAATACCACTTTCATCCCTCGCCGGGTTCCTTCAGTGGAGTGACTCACAGCTCTGTAACGCCGAGCAGGAGGATGTTGGAGCGTTTCTGAGAGTGATTCTTTTAAACATCCATGTTGATTAGACTGTGATCTTCTCCCAGGGGCTTCGAGAAGAAGAAAAAAACATGAGGGATTGATTTAGAAAAAGACAATTATTAACCAATGTGTTTTTAATTACAGGATCCAGGATTATGTATTATTTTCTCGATTACACGTTTGATCGTTCAAAGACACTTCTGGTCATTAAATCTGTGTGTAAAGAGACAACATCAACAAGTGTGGTCCCAAAGATGATCATTTTTTACTTGCTGGCTTGCACACACAAGATCCATATCTTGTATTAATTCAATATATTTTGTTCAAAAGTTATATTGCAAGATACTGGATCAATTTCTAGTGCTCACAAGTTATTATTATGTACAGATGAGGGGACAACCTGCGTGAACAAAATATTAACACCATATATTGTGCAGACAAAGAATTAGGGTTTTAGGTTTTCTTGTGCTAAAGATAGAAAATATAATTTCTAACTGTGAAGAAACTGACCTTGAGAAGAAATTTATCATAGAAACAAAACATCCCCATCCTCTCAAGAAACTTTTGTCTATAGTTGAGTGCAGAAAACAATGTTCCTCTGAGCAGGTGTCTCCCAAGAGCCTGGTGGGTGGAGTCGGGTCATCGTCGAGATCCAGTTCATCTGGTCTGGTGGCAAGACTATGTAGGCTGGAGGCGATTTGTTTTCGTTGTATTTAACTTAATTTGTCTTTTAGTAAAAATTAACTTATTTTTAGTTACAACTTTTCCCCTTCTTTGTCCAGCCTTGGTTGTTCTTAAAAGAAGTGAACAAAAAAGTATTTCAACCTGTTTCTAGTAACAATCTGTGTTTGTATCTTGAAACAAGACAAAATAAGGGATGTCACTGCTGAAGAAGAAAGAAGAAGAAGAAAAAGAACACCAGAAAGATGAATAAAAATAGAAGTTAAAATCTTGATCAAAACTCCCTATGCAACAATCTAATATACAGCTGCCAATTTAAGCTGAATTTAAACACGTTAAAAAAAGACCCTACACAAAGATAGTCTGCACTTCCTCGTGTTATGTGTGGTACTTTCTGTATGTGTGAATGTAGAATTAGTCTTGTTTTCATTTGTTTTAAGTTACACAAAAATGACTTCTTAATTCATAAGGAGATTTTTGAACATGAACAGTTTGGATTTGACTTTTAAGAGAATATTTGATATCTTTTAATCTGAAATAAGAAGATTCAAGAGATTCTCTTTTGCACTGCAATTTTTATAAAAGAGGTTTAATTCCTTCAGAATTTGAAGCTAGTTTACAGTCATCAGATTGATGTGAAATGAAGGGTTGCTTTAATTTAAATGTCTAAAAAGGCTTTTTGATGTTAAATATGCATGAGGACAAAATGAAAGGATTGAACACAGAGGATTTTTGTCTTTTTGCATCTTTAATCAGAATCAGATCTCAATATCGTCAGACTGATTCTTGTATTTTCTCTTATCTGAGTTGTACTGATTTTTACTGGTTTTCTGTCTTCTGGAGGATTAAAGGTTACAATCACTTTTCCCCCGAAGGCCAGAGACATGCCGTGGGTGAAACCATTAAGATTAAAAAACTAAATTATACATTAAAAGCTTGTTTAATTACAGAGACAGACAAACCACTGCCACCACCTTATTTTCATCAAACTGTGTCAAATTTAAATAAGCCCCTCTCTCTCTTCCAAATCCAAGAAGAAAAAAAAACACCTCCCTGAATTATAGATGAGCGTGAAGAGGATTAATTATAGCGCAGTAAAACCTGTAGCTAATGTGCTGCGTTCAGACCGACACTAATGCTAATGACAGAGACCGAAACCTCATATCTCCACACATGAGAGTCATCAGTTTCCTCTGCAGGGATTTAATTTTTTTTTATTGTTTTTATCTGACTCTCAAACTGACCTTGCAACCCATAATGCACACATTTATTTTAAATTTTTATTATTAGACTTTATCTCCACCTTCCTACCACATATAGTGACGTGGAGAACCAATTTCCCTTAAAAGCACCCTTTAAATATGACAAAACATTAAAGTCCCCCTCCAGTCAAAAATATTCTTGTCCCTACAGTGTGCTGTTTGAATGGTGTATGTGCAAAGTTTGACTCTAGAAGGATGTTTTCACATTCATCTATGAGGGGTCGTATAAGCCATTATTCGTGTGCAGGGTCGGGATGAATTATGGCTTGTACAGCCCCTCATATTCATCTATCATGAATTTAAGTGGCTTGGCAAACGAGCATGATTTGTAACATCACAAATAGTTTGGAAGTCAGTGCTGGTCCAGTATGCAACTTGTACAGTGTGATGTAGAAGTGAAGTGCACATCCACTGAGAATGGACTTTACAGTGAAGTATGAATGAATAAATAATTGGTAATAATAGTTTTTTGAAAACAACATATCAGATACAAATTATTATTCAAAGTAAAGCAATTTATATAAATGTTAAAACATGTCGGTGTTGTCGTCTGTGTAAGTCCTAGTTCACCAACCCTCTTGTACTAATATGGAACGCTGACGTACAGTATACAATCATCTGTGGTCTGACCTGCTGTTTCTGTTTATTAACTGCACAGCTTTGAATAGTACATCTAAAGCCATGTTTCTACAATTGAAATGTCATGGTACAAGAATATGATAATAAATATTTTTTTCTGGTGGAAAGGAATTACACCAAAAGGCTTAAAAGAAAAGTTTTTGTACAAATTAAAGCTATAATATGCTATAATACATTTCCACAATAAATATCTATAAATATCTTCTATATGTAGTTGAGTTGTGTACTTCCATTATCCCAAATGTTCAAACTCAGAGAAATCTGTCATTTTATTCAGGTAACGCGTTTCACCGGTCGCCTGTCAATGGCGTCATAACCCCTTTGTGCCTGCGCCAGCGTTGTGGTTGTCTGCCAGAAGCTGTCATACATGGAATTTTTATCCAGTCTGAAGCAACATTTTTACCATCCACTGTTTAGATCTTGGTGCTTTTTAACTCTAGATTTGAACCGGATGAAGAATTTTAGACGTTCCTCTTTGATAAAGCTTATAGTTAGGGTTGGCTCAGGTGAGTCCTGAACCATACCTTAGTAATGCTGCTATAGGCCTAGACTATCTGGGATTTCCCATGATGCACTGAGCTCCTCTCTTCCTCTCTCTCTCTCTTTCTGTACTCATTCATGTCCCATTAATGCATGTTACTAACTTCACTTCTTCCCCGGAGTTCTTGTGCTTTCTTGTCTCGCAGGTTCTCATGGATCCTGGCGGAGCCTCCTGCCATGGTCCTGCTTGACTGCCATCGCTAATATTACTGATATTAGTGTTATTATTATTATTAGTATTATTATTACTACAGTTACTATTATTACTATAAACACTGCTCATTGTCCCCCATCGTTGTTCATGTTCATCATCATCAGTCACTACTATTAGTGTAGTTGTTGCTACTGTTGTTGCTGTGCACCTCTGTCTCTGTCTCTGTCCTTCTGTCTTTACCTCTGTTCTCTCTCTGTCTCTCTCTCTGTCTCTCTTTCTCTCTCACCCCAACTGATCGAGGCAGACGACCACCCACCTAGAGGGTCTGTCCTAGGTTTCTGCCTCTTAACAGGCAGTTTTTCCTTGCCCCCGTCGCCAAGTGCTTGCTCATGGTGGTACTGTTGGGTCTCTGTAAATAATATTAAAAGAGTTCGGTCTAGACCTGCTCTATTTGAAAAGTGTCCTGAGAGGAACTTGAGACTTCCGGTGCGACGCTACAGCAATATGGACGCGTAGCAGTGAGCTCCCACTAGTAGGTTTGAGAAAAGTACCTCCTATCAATAGAAGTAGCTTTGAAAACATTTTTAAATCAAGTATGAAAGGAGGGAAACTGCGAAGCGGTCAGAGGATTGACAGGAAAATGAACAAAGCACAAGAAAACACGGAGGTGACCGAGTCTGCCGAACACGTGGATGATGGCGACCATGGAGGAACATCGACAGGTGAAGCTAACACAGCAGCTTGCATCCACCAAAACGCTCTGCTTGAATCACTCACTAAGGAGCTAAAAGGCTTCAAACAAGATATGAGAAAGGACCTGAGCGAATTTAAAAACGAAATTAAGAAAGCTGTGAAAGACGACTTCGCAGAGTTTAAAGAGGAAGTTTTGCAAGAGCTACAGATCCAAAACATTAACAATGCAGAGGCACAAACCCGGATAGCCGACCTGGAGTCAGCCTGCCTAGAGATGAAAGACACGCTGTTGATGGGTGGTGAAGCAGAACATGGAGATGCGAGACAAAATTGTCGATTTGGAGAGCAGTTCAAGAAGAAATAATATCAGGATCTACGGAGTGCCAGAAGAAAAAGAGGGGAGTTCAAGTCAAGTGAGTTTGTAAAAGAACTGCTTAAAAGCCGCCTTACCCTGCCTGACGGAGTGGAGCTCCAGATCCAGAGGGCGCACAGAGCACTGATCCCAAAACCAGCTGCTCCCTCATCCCGAGATCAATAATAGTAAACTTTTTACAGTTTCATGTTAAAGAGCTGGTTCTTAGGAAAGTTTGGCAACAGAAGATTGAGATGAACGGCAAACGACTTTACTTTGACAACGATTACGCGACTGACATCATGGAGAGACACAAGGCGTACGGGCCCATCAAAGCGGCGCTGAAGGAGAAGGGGATCCGGTATCAGACGCCCTACACGAAGATGCGAGTGCACTGGGATTCCGGATTGAGGATCTACGGGACAGCGGACGAAGCGGCTCAGGACCTGATTCGACGCGGAGTCAAGGTGACGGTGACAACAAAGGTGAGCGCCGCGACGGCCGCCGAGGAGCGACTGGAAGCGGTGATGCCATGGAAACGCACCATCGCTTCAGAGAGCGCAGCTCTGCGCGCAAGAGAGAGGCTGACAGAGTTCAGACGAGGCACCGAGTGAGAAAACTGAAATGAATAAGGAGATAATTGTGGTCCCGGTAAACTCAAACATTACTATTACGATATATTTTATTATTATTTACCTACTTGAATGAATATTTACTTTTGAGTGAGGGGTTTTGTTGAAAACATCCAACCCTGGGCCACACAGGATAAAAGACTCAGGACTTATGTTATTAAGTTAGTGAAACCGATTGGCAGTATGTAGTTTACACAAGCACCTAATGTTGGACAATTCTAGTAATAGTGGGTATCTTCTCACAACTAGGGAGGGCCCTCATAGAAATGAGGCACTTTACCCTCCTCCCACCAACAGGGACCTTAAGGGATGTCAAAACACATCCCTTCTTTTGGAAGTCATATTGTTATTGTTGTTCTATAGTTATAGTTATATTGTGTTTTTTATGTTCAGAGTTGGATTGCCACACAAATTCATAAACAGTAATGTTGGAGCATAATACCAAGATACTGTCGTTGAATGTTAATGGCCTGAATAATCCCGTGAAACGACAGAAGGTGATGACTAAACTAAGGAGGGATAAATCACAGATTGTATACCTACAGGAAACTCATCTGTCTAGACAGGAAAGCGAGAAGCTCAAGAAGTTTGGCTACACAAAATTATTTTATAGTTCATTTCGCTATGGGTGTAGAAGAGGTGTTATCATACTTATTCCCAATTCGGTGAAATTTGAGTGTATCAAAGAAATCAGTGATAAAGAAGGGAAATATGTCCTTGTGAGAGGAAAACTGGAAAACGAAATGGTGAATGTATATGCTCCACCCGATATTGGAAAGCTATTCTTTAAAACCTTGCTAGATACCATAATTTTAGAAATGGATGGAATACTAATATGTGGTGGAGACTTTAATATTGTGATGAATAGTAAATTAGATACAACAAACAAGAATAGAAGTACCAATCATGTCACCAAAGTAATTAAGAAAACATTTAAAGAATTTGGTTTAGTTGATACTTGGAGGGAATTACATACCTCTAAAAGAGACTACACACACTACTCGCCCCCCAATGACAGCTATGCCCGAATTGACTATTTTTTCATGAATAAAAAGGAGTTATATAGAGTACAGAAATGTGAAATTCTACAAGCAGACATATCGGATCACTGTGCGGTTTATCTTGAAGTTAAATTAAAACCGCAGGAGAAAAGTACACTATGGAGGTTAAATGTAGGAATACTAAATAACAAATCAATAGTGGAAGAGCTAAAGAAAGACATCACAATTTATCAAAAGGAAAATAACAATGGAGAGGTCACGCCCGTTGTTTTGTGGGATGCCCTGAAAGCAGTGATTAGAGGAAAACTTATTGCAAAGACAGCAGCAATTAAAAAAACTAAAGAGGAAACTTATATGAAGGAAAAGGAGAAACTGCTCAAAATTGAAAAGCAACATAAAAATACACGAGATTCTTCACTGCTTCCAAAAATTAAAGAAATCAGGGATAATATAGATAGACTACTAGTTACAGAAATTGAAAAGAAGACAAGATTTCTAAAACAATCTTACTATGAAGTGGGGCCGAGGGCAACCAAATTATTGGCAAAAAGATTAAAAAAACAACAAGAGGACATGACAATTCATAAGATAAGGGATATAAACACAAATCAGATAGTCAATGAACCCAAGGAGATTGAAACTAAATTTATGAATTATTATAGAGATTTATATAGCCAGCCCCCATCTGCTGATACAGACCAAATGAAAGCTTTTCTTGAGAAACTGGACTTACCAGCAATTGGGAGAAATCAGAACGACCTCCTGACTTCACCCATTACAAAAGAAGAAATACAAAAGACAGTAAATAAATTAAAAACAGGTAAATCTCCCGGCAGTGATGGCCTACCATCTGAGTGGTGTAGAACATTTAGCAAGCAACTTATACCACTACTTGAATTATCATTTAATTATACACTTGAATATGGTGAAATCCCCCCATCCTGGAAGGAAGCAGTAATATCAGTGATCCCTAAGAAAAATAACAGCGAGACTTGTTCAGACTACAGACCTATATCACTACTTAATATTGACTATAAACTATATACTTCTATTATTTCCAAAAGATATGAGCATTTTATTAGTGACATTATTGAGGAAGATCAGACAGGCTTTATTAACGGACGTCAAACCCATGATAATATTAGGAGAACTCTACACATCATGGATTATATCCAAAACAAAAATATTAGTGCGGCCTTGATAAGCCTGGATGCGGAAAAGGCATTTGACAGTGTTAATTGGACTTTTCTATACCTGGCTCTTAAACAATTCGGACTCAACGACAAAGCCGTTGAATGTATTAAAACACTTTATCAAAGACCAACTGCAAGGATAAGAATAAACGGTAGCCTGACTGAGCGCATAACTTTAGAACGGTCTACCAGGCAGGGTTGTTGCTTGTCACCAACCTTGTTTGCAATTTTCATAGAGCCCCTGGCCCAAGCAATCAGGCAGAATAAAGATCTCAAAGGGATAAAGGTTGGGAGAGAAGTACACACCATTGGGCTTTTTGCTGACGATGTGATTTGTTATTTAGAGGACCCAGACACATGTATTCCCATATTAATCAACCAACTTGAAACGTTTGGTTTCTGCTCGGGATATAAGCTGAATCTGACTAAAACACAAATTTTAACATTAAATTATCACCCCCCTAAACACATACAATTAAAGTACAACTTGAATTGGAATGCAACAAAAATTGAATATCTTGGGGTCTCCCTAACACGAAGAATCGACGAAATATACAAAGCCAATTACATCAAAGTGGATAAGGAAATTAGGAACGATATGGATAGGTGGGCTGTCCTTCCACTAGACATTGGTTCACGAATAGAGACCTTAAAAATGAATATTCTCCCTTGTATTCTCTACCTGTTTCAGTCGCTACCTATTGAGATACCTGAGAAACAATTTAGAATATGGGATAAAAACATTTCAAGGTATATATGGGTTATATGGGTTCTCTTGACCAGACATTTAAACAATGGATTTCAAGTGGAATAACAGCAATGTGTACACTAATTAAAAATGGGAATTTTATGAGTTTCCAGGAGATTAAACAAAAATATAAATTAAACAATCAGGACCATTTCAGGTATTTACAAATAAGGGACTATTTTGACAAAGAAATAAAGTATAATGTAAATTTAGATAATAACGGAATAATCAGAACCATAATTGGAATATACAATTCAAAGAAATACAGAATAATATCTACAATGTATTGCAATCTAATGGAGAGAAGAGGGAATACAACTTTATACGTGAAGCTGAAATGGGAAAGAGAACTGGGAGTGAATATTTCTGAAGATGAATGGCCACATATTTGGAGAACACAACAGTCAACCACATCATCACGTGCTTGGAGATTATTTTGTTGGAAGAACTTAATTAGATTCTTTATCACACCTAAAATCCAGAACAAATACCTGTCGGTACCACAGCCATGTTGGAGAAAGTGTGGGGCAACAAATGTAGATCATTCTCATGTTTTTTGGCTTTGCCCTAAAATTATAATATTTTGGGAGGATGTTCACCTGGTTATTGTCAGAATTCTGGATTATGATATACCCAAGTCATGTGTATTACTTTACTTAGGCAATATGACAGGGAATGTTGTGTTAAAAGAGGACAGATACTTGTTGAAAATCTTGTTAGCAGCTTGTAAAAAAGCAATTACGAAAAAATGGTACAAACCAGATCCACCAACACAAGATGACTGAAGTATATGTCATGGAGCAGTTGACCCATAAGATAAGGACTCAAGAGGAAGAAAGTCGAGAAAAGTGGGAAAAATGGACTGTCCACACATCAATGACAGGATAAGGACTATTACATTATCACTGGAACAAACTGTAGAGACATGGCAACCCAGCATGTTCCTTTTTTGATGTTGTTTTGTTTTCTTTTTTTTATTTCTCCTTTTTTTTCTTAAAATCTTTACCAGTGTTTATATGTTGCATTAAAAAAAGGCAATAAAAATAAAGTATATATGTAAAAAAAAAAAAAAAAAGTGTCCTGTGATAACTTCTGTTATGAATTGGCGCTATACAAATAAAATTGAATTGAATTGAATTGAATTGAATTGAATTGAATAGTCATCGGACGTCTGGATCTTAAGTTATCAGAGAAACAAGCTGAGCTAACGTTAGCAGCAGCCCAGCTCGCAGCCCCCTGGGACTTTGTCTGTCCAACAGCGTGGGAGAAACTGATTTTTATTCGGCGGGTCTGTTTTGGAAAAGAGGAGACCAATGGGATAATTCATAAACATGTTTAGTTCGCTTCATAAATTACATGTTGTACATTTAAATAAATGAAATATAAAAAATTGTGAGCTTTAGAGGTGCTCGTAGGAGGATTTTTATCTTTGGACAGAGCCAGTCTAACTGTATTCCCCTGTTAGTAGTGCTTGTGCTAAGCTAAGTTAGTTGGCTGCTGGTGATAGATTTACCATATAGATATGAGTGGTATAAATTTTCTTGTCTAGCTCTGTCTAGTTAATTTCCCAAAATGCTGAACTTTTCCTTTAATCAAAAGTCTTCCTGAATATGAAAAAAGTGATATTGAATCAGGTGGCAGCATTCAGCAGCAGTCCTGTGTTTATCAGCCTCAAGGCTTTCATAACTGATCCTTTACTGTACCATTCTATCCAAAACCTCAGTTTGTGAAAATGTACTGAACACAGCACAACAAAAGTCTCATCATGGCATATCACTCGGGCTTCCCGCCAATCTGATGCTTCTGTTTCTGTCCTGGATGATCACACTCATCTGTCCACACACTGTTGGTGTGACAGGGGAAACCTTGTTATAGGACATATTTGGGCATTGCCTCCAATCTCAAGCATTTCCAGTCAA